GAAATGTAACGACTCAACCACCCTGATATAACGCACCAACCTAACAATGAAATGTAACGACTCAACCACCCTGATATAACGCACCAACCTAACAATGAAATGTACCGACTCACCCACCCTGACAATGAAATTGAAATAACACGAACACAACTTTATGGATTTAAGATTCGTCAAGAATTACTGAAGGATGATTGTGATTTTATCCAAATTCAGTTGAATGTTCCACACTCAAGCCATATGGGAGGTGTATGGGAACGACAGTTACGAACCGTTAGAATGTTTCCTCCAGCAATATGGGAGGTGTATGGGAACGACACATACGAACCATTAGAATGTTCCAAACTCCAGCAATATGGGAGGTGTATGGGAACGACAGATACGAACCGTTAGAATGTTCCACACTCCAGCAATATGGGAGGTGTATGGGAACGACAGATACGAACCGTTAGAATGTTCCACACTTCAGCAATATGGGAGGTGTATGGGAACGACAGATACGAACCGTTAGAAATGTTCCACACTCCAGCAATATGGGAGGTTTATGGAAACGACAGATACGAACCGTTAGAAATGTTCCACACTCCAGCAATATGGGAGGTTTATGGAAACGACAGATACGAACCGTTAGAATGTTCCAAACTCCAGCAGTATGGGAGGTGTATGAGAACGACAGATACGAACCGTAAGAAATGTTCCACACTCCAGCAATATGGGAGGTTTATGGAAACGACAGATACGAACCGTTAGAAATGTGTTATCTGCTATTTTAGACAACCACAAGAACCAGTTAGATGATGAATCATTCGAACATTCTTTGTTGAAGCTGCAACCATAGTTAATAGAAGACCACTAACTGCTGTAACCAGCGATCCTGATCATCCAACACCGATAACTCTAAATCATTTTTTATGGTTGAAATCTAAAAGTTCTACTACCACTACCAGTTGTATTTGGCAACATTGATCAGTATTCTCAAGAAACGCTGGAGGCGCATTCAACATTTAGCTAACCAGTTGTGGACTAGATGGAAAGCAGAGTATCTCCACACCTTTCAAGAACGATCCAAATGGAAACATTCAAGTCAACGACGTGGTGATTGTTAAAAGTGATAATGTCTCTCGTGATAATTGTCAGTTAGCCCGTGTCGTCCAGACTTAAAATAGTGATAATTATTCTCGTAATAATTGTCAGTTAGCCCCTGTCGTCCAGACTTATAACAGTGATGATAGATAATACGAGCAGTTCAACTCTTCCTCGCCGATGGAACCTTTGATAAGAACGGCAAACGTACTAAACCATTGACTTATATCCAGAGACCAATACACAAGATTGTTCTATTTCTTCCGAATATAAACATATGTGGAGTATTTCCCCATCGAGCAGCTAAGATATGGACTGTATTGTGCTAATCATTTTCAAGACTTTATTGTGTTGAACGTTTTAAAGTGTGAAAACTTATCCAGAGAATGGCAGACTTTTGGGTTCTTTTATATTTTTCCTTTAAAAGACTGATAATATGACATTTAGAATATGTGTGGTAAAATGTTGCCAATTTAGGAGGTTGGGGGGCATATTACGGAGATAGAAGTGTTATCATGCTTGATTCTTCAAAATTTTAAATTCCATTCACCATCCGTAATAAAGTAAAACAAATAATTTTTTGAGCACTAAAACCGACAGACATACGAAGAACACGGCTGTGTTTCCAATTATTATCCAGTTGTATGCCCTCACCAAGATTTTTTCGTGCTTCATGTAGAATTAAAATTGTTTGTGAAGTGCAGTACGCCTGAATTTCTAACCCGGGGACGTCAAGTTAAGGAAGCATTGTCTCCCGCCGTTAGAATTGCATTGATATTATTCACAATGTTTTGTGAAAATAAATAGATTGGTGAAACGAAACAATTTAACTTGTGTTTTACTAAAACTGATTGTGCGCTGGCCACATAGAGCTGCAACTAAGTAGTCAAAGATCATGTTCGTTTGGGCAATTTTTATTTGTAAAGAACAAAACTGTAGCTGGAGTGCATGCCGATGTACGTCTGTGTAGAATTGAGGGTTGCCTGCTAAACTCTTGTTTTTTTAGATTTATTTCTCAATAACTTGATTTACAATTTAAAAAACAAAACAAAGAAAATTTAGTTCCATTGTAACATTAACCTCGAAGTACATTGACTATGAAATTATTTTACGTTGAATATCATACAAGAAGAATGTATTTCCCGACACAACACAAACATTTCAAGAAATAATGATAGACCTCGATAAGCGTCCAATAACATAACCATCACGAGAGTCTGGTTAGCTTAAACTGAACCATTACGTATAATGAGTTTTTCGCTTATTTCTCCAAAATAGTGTTTACTTTCACTCGACTAGGTCATATTTTTTTAATTTATGGTCTGGATTTGTCTGCAATACAAAAGTGCAAAATGAAAATTTGGAAAAATAGGGTCGGCTATTTTGTAAACCAAGTTATTATATTATATGCAAATAAACATGACTATTTTGTTGGAATTTGCCACCCATTATCCAGTGATCAACAAACTAGCAATATAGTACTCATTTGCAACAATACCCGTTGGGTTAAAACACCCGTCAAAAAGTATATAGTAATTATTGACGGACAATATCTCTCCTAATTGAGCTAGAACGTTCAAACGTCATGTAGGTGTTTATTAGGCCAATGCCTTGATGGAGTTCAAAGATGGGCATTTTCTGCTTAGGGTAAACAGAGATAAGCAATTTGATTGGACGAGACTTTAAAACACTGTAACTCTCCGTCTAATTGAGGTACAAAGTTCGAAATTGGTTTAGGTGTCTATTAGGTGAATGTCTTAACAGAGTTCGATCATACGCATTGCAGAGATAAGCAATTTGATTGGCTGAGAATTTGGAACACGATAACTTTTGTTCTATTTGGGGGAGAACGATGAAACTCAAAAGTATAGATTCATTATATCAACACCTTGAATGTTCTGCTTAGGCTAAGCAATTTGATTAATCAAGAAGTTGGAACATATCAACTCTGCCGTATAAATGTTCATTAGGCGAATGTCTTGACTGAGTTCAATGATTAATAGTTCCCGCTAAAGCTAAGCTTAGCAAATTCATTGGCCGATGTTTTGAGACAAGATAACTTTGATACTGATGGCGAGTGACGAAACTTAGTGTATAGATTACTGAAAGATTATTTGACCATTATTTATTAGAATATACATCGCCACAGAGTATTGTCAGCAATCGTATTCTTTATTGTAATACTCGGTGGGGGGGGGGGAGCGCGAAATCATAAGGTCTGTCGTTGAGTCTAAGTGTCGTGGTTTCCATTCCGAGCTTGTGTGTGACAAAACGTGGGGGCGCCGAGTCCTCCGGTTTCCTCCCACTGGTTAAGACCCTTACGGTTAACGGAATTAGTGAAATAAGATTCCTATTCTCCCCGTGTACATGACAGGAGTAGGGTCACCTGTGCCACCTCGTGGGGTTTCTCTGGGTCTCCCGGTTCCTCCCACTTCTAAAGACCCCTACGACCAAGCCAGTTATTGAAATAAAATTAGGTTAATCCCGAAACGACCCAGTTTGTGTCGAGTGGATGTTAAACCCCATTTCATTTTGTCCCTTTCAACAAATATCATTAGCGTGTTACCTCATTTGGATGTACATCTACTAGTTTAGATAAACCAATGACTATATCAGTATAAAGCCGGTGATGACCTCAATCCTTCCTTTTAAAGATACGCCGAGGCGAGAGCTCCGTGGGTAAAGCCTTCTCTCGCTAGCCCCACGAGAAGGTTCATGGGGATTTTCCGGCTTGGTTCCCCCTTGTCATTGGTGCAGGAAGGAGGGCCTAGTAAGGGACAGCGTATATTTGTTCAGATGTGACGAAAAACAGAGGTCCAGCGGACACATTCGCGTGCACGTAAAAGACCCTTTGACCGCAGAAATTGGATATGAATAGGCCGTAGTGCCACTGTCCGGTCAAAATTTCTCTCATAGCTGACTGTATCGCGTACGTCGGTCCCTATTAGTCCAGTCGGAAGAGACAAATTAAACCTCATTTATTTGTTATCTATACTAATATTTGTGAAATTTGAGGTATAGGGGTAGCTCGGACCGGGGAGTAACATAGACCAGGTGGCGTTAGTCTACCACTTCCGGTTTCGGAGTTATGACCCCCGGGCTGTTCGGGGTTGGCGGCTACACTAGGTCTGCCCCGAATCTGAAATTTGGGGTATAGGGGTAGCTCGGACCGGGGAGTAACATAGGCCAGGTGGCATTAGTCTACCACTTCCGGTTTCGGAGTTATGACCCCCGAGCGAAGTCGGGTATCCTGCTAGTATAACATATTAACATGACGGGCACACGATTCATTCTCTAGGCTATTGGATGACTGTGATATTAGATGGATTAAAACACCCGTAACACATAATAATTTTGTGGATAATCGGGACTTTGTTCATTTTCGTAATAATGTTATTGACACCTGGAACTATTCCTCAACGATTATAGTAAGAACGGTCAATATCTAAATCTTGCGTGATGCAACTTTAAGAATATGTAAATAGCGAACACTAACACATAGACTGTTTAAGCTTAGATCTAGTTGATAAGGTCACGAGATGTAAAAAGGGCTAGCGCTAATACTAACCCTAACATTGGACCTAGCCCCAATGCCCAAACTTTAACCAGCAATTTCGCAACAATCACGTGCCCTAACCTTAGTTACATCTCAGCGACCTTGACGAAAATTGAGCTGACCTAAACAAAAAGATTTAGCCCTAGTGAACTTGTCATCAACATGGCTAATCTGGTAGATGTTAAAAAAGATCGACTATAAACTTATCTAGACAGACCGGGGATTTCAGGTTTTAATCTAATTCATCTTTAAGGATATCTATGTAAATAGCGACCCCTTGTGACCTAAATTATTCAAACATCCTTTAGTAGATATTACAGATCGCATTACATCGTACATTATTTCTGACATTATCTTCAAAATGGCTGATCTGACTGAATTCAAAATGGACTATAACTATTTAGGCAGAACGGGGCTTCAAGTTTCTAACCTATGCCTAGGTACCATGACATTTGGACAAAGCAGTGTAAGTATCTAGTTATTACAACCAACACGAAAGTTTATAAATTGAGGACAATGGCTTCCCCATATTTAAATAGTGGATGAAAAGAAATATGATTGAACGTCTGTTATGTACGAAACGGTCTAATGCAATGTGCTATGAGGGACATTTTGCCTGGACAGCGGCTCTACGACCTATTTCGTATAAATGGGGCCTTTAGTGTTCTTCTTCCAACCGAACGATTAGACACTTTAACTTGCAATGGTTTCCGTTCTGCATCACTGACCAGTAGAAATGAGGATGGAAATCCCGAAAAACATTTCCGTTCAACACCCTGGTTAAAATGAAATGAAAATGGTTTTTAACGTCTTACTTTTCTTCAGCGACTGGGATAATGAGCTAACGATGTGTGCTATGGGTGAAATGTTGCCCGTACAGCGGCGTTACGGCTTATGTTTATTTCGAATTACATCTGTCAACGGCTCTTTTACGTGCACGCCAATGTGTACGCCGAACCTCGCCTGTTCGTCCCATCCTAACGACAAGACATTTTCCTTCTCAGCCCGAAAGGAACGTATAACCTCTTGATCAGTGAGCCAGCGTCATGCCCACTGAGACGCTATTCAGATAATATTATATACTCATTAAAGCGAGGCTGCGTGATTTTCTTTTTCTTTTATCGAAAAATGTCAGATTTCTCACGGTTTTAACCACGCTTATATATACTCAGGGATTTTTTATCAAAATTATATAAAAACAAATCCAAAATACCAACGCTAGATTATCGCCCTGTTTAGATTTAATAGGATTAAAATCAGGTCCATCAATCTGGTTAACGGCAAATAAATATTGCTGCGGCGTGTTATAAAGGGAGCAGCATTGATCGTTGTCATATCCCTGTAAATACATACAGGAAATGAACTATTTTTGGACGGATATCCTTATTACACGAAATGAAATGAAATGGGGTTTAACGTCCTACTGTTCTGCTCCAAACTGGGCTAATGAGGACGGGCATACGCCATACAGTGTGCTATGAGAGAAATTTTGCCCGGACAGTGGCACTACGGCCTACTCTTATATCGAATTCCAACTGTCAAGGGATCTTTTACGTGCACGCAAATGTGCACACGGGACCTCGGTGTTTCGTCCCATCCGAACGACTAGACAACTGTCCTTGTCAGGCCCTCCGTCCTGCATCACTGACAAGGGGGAACCACGCCGGAAAATCTGGATGAACTTTCTCGGCCAATGCAGGGATCGAACACCCGACCTCCAGGCTAGCGAGCCAGCGTCTTACCCACTTAGCCACCTATTACACATTCAACTTTCACAATATGGTAGTTTGCCAGGGATTCCATAGCGATAAACTCAGGATCTTTAATTATTTTCTTGTACATTTAAGTTTCATGGTGGATTGCCTGGTCAATGTGACGAAGAATTATCTCATCAAATATTAAATCGTTATGTTGAACTAGGTGGTAATTTTATAGATACTGCTGATATATATTCACTCGGTAATTCTGAGTCTATTATTGGCAACTGGCTAAAACAGTAAGTTTCATCTCTGGGTTCAAAATAGTTCAAATGAATTGAGAAATGAGATATTCAAATAATAATAGAAGCCCTAATTAAGTAATAATAAAAGTCCTAATTAAATAATTATATACTAATGTCCAAGAGAAAGTATACACTGTGCATTTTGTGTTGCATCAACCAAAGTTGTTTTTCCATGGTATACGGTATTTGGGTACAATGTCAATTTGTTTCCCTTTTTTGGGGGTGGGGATGAGGGGGTGGGGTAGAAATGTTGGGTTTGGACGCAAGAGACAAACTCAGTAATGTTTTATCAAATGTTTTTAATCTAAACAAAACTTAGTCCTATTTTTAGTGTGTATACTTTCTTTTGGACATTAGTATAGAATCCCCAATTAAATAATAATAGAAACCCTAATTAAATAATAATAGAAGCCCTAATTAAATGGGGTCTATAAATAATGAATGGAAATGAGGTTTAACGTCCTACTTTTCTGTATCGACTGTGCTAATAAGCCATGTAGTATGTTACAAAGGAATTGTACACAGGCAGCGGCGCTACGACCTACACTTATTTCGAATTCCAACTGTCAGTGGATCCTTAACCTATTGCCATACACGCTGGTTTATTTGATCTCATCAGAACCACAAGACGCATATCCTTGCAAGGTCCTCCGTGCTGCACCACTGAGAAGGGGGGGGGGTGAATCCTTGGCAGGTCCTCCGTGCTGCACCCGACTGAGAAGGGGGGGGGGGTATTCTTGCCAGGTGCTCCGTGCTGCACCACTGAGAAGGAGGGGTGTCCTTGCCAGGTGCTCCGTGCTGCACCACTGAGAAGGAGGGGTGTCCTTGCCAGGTCCTCCGTGCTGCTCCACTGAGACGGGGTCGACGCAGCAAAATACCAAAGAATGTTTTCGGTCAATACTGAGAGTGGACCCTAGATCTCCTGGTTAGCAAGCCAATGTCATTATTATTTGAAGATGACAAATGAACCAAGATATGTAATTTACATACTCTACCATTTGCATGACACCGTTAGTGTTTATACCATTTGTGAATTCTACCTTGACATGCAAGCCATACTCTTTTATCCTATCTTAATAAATTGGAATCCGACCCGCGCTTGGAAACTGCGATGAAAACATTTTTTAATGTATTTCAGGCAACAGCGAGATGAATATATACTGGCAACTAAAGTGTTTTTCTGGCGAGTTAACCCGGACATAAATCGTCAAGGATTGACAAGACGACATATTGTAAAAAGTATAGAGGAAAGTTTAGAAAGATTACAAACAGATTATGTTGATTTGTACCAAGTAAGTATCCCAGTCTTAAAATGTTCCACATTTCCAGCAACCAGTCGGAGGGTTGAGATGGCCTAGTGGTCTACAGTTTCGCGCTTCTAGCTTTAGCTGCTGGCTTGCGGTCGTAGTTTCGGGCTTCGAGCTTTCGCTGCTAGCGTGCGGTCGTAGTTTCGATCCCTGGTGTGAGCGCACGTTGCTTGGAGATAGGGGCGCCTTCTCAACCTCGTGGGTTTACGCTGGGACTCCGGTTTCCTCCCACAGGAAAGACCCCTTAGCGTGCGCTGAGCATAGTAAAATAAGACAATTTGTCTGCGATGTTACCCTCGGTGGAAGCGGACGTTAAACGCTAATAGAAGGAGAAGCCATCCACCGTGTTTAACGATGCAATTTGCCGTGGACACGACAATGCGCAAAATATGTCTAGTTGAAACATGGCAACCATAGGGTTTTCTTCTCGAGTGGTTTGTTCTTGTGCAATGGAGGCAATTTTACTAACTCTGTGAAGGCTGTAAATCCAATTGTAACATGGACGGGGAATCTTCCTCTGTTCTTTTCATTGAATAAGCAGATTGTTTTCCCTCTAGAAGATTAGATGGAGCTTAACCATGCAATAACTAGACCTGTTCAATGTTATTGTACGGTTTTGCTGGTTTACATTAGTTTTAGTAGAAATCATATAGAGAAGTGGGCTGGGTTTTGCTGTACAATAACAACAATCATGTTGAGCAGATGTCAATGTTACAAGTCATTTATAGCACGCTTCATTCGTTAAGGGTTTTAACATCTCGACCTTCGGCCTCGATGTTTAAACCTGTTGTACGTGAAAGACTTGCTATAAATATAACTTAATACGGTTTTAAAAACGTAACTGTCAGGTAACATCAATTCTTTGAAATGTAACTTTAGAAATAGTTTGAATCGAATGAACAGAAGGAGGAGATAGATATAATTTTGTTTTCATATTCATATCTGTACTTAATCTTTCAGATGCATTGTTGGGACAATGCCACACCCATTCGAGAAACTCTGTTGACGTTTAATGACTTGATACGCTGTGGTAAAATACGTCATGCAGGTTGTAGTAACGTTACAGGATGGCAGTTACAACAAATAGTTGATTTAAACAGAGAACTTGGTCTGAATCCATTTATTAGTCTTCAGGTAGGGTCATTTATTAAACATTAACTTAATCCATTTGATCTACGTCATAATATTGAATGAACTGTGCATTTGATGATTTTAATCAAAGGTCTTTTTGGAATATAATTCTTAAAGATAAGCATCATTTTGCTACACGGAATTTGTGAGATAAATAACTGGTGAATAAAACTATTTTACGGACATCGATATCAAATTTACAGCAACAATACAGTCTGGCTACCAGACATGATGAGTTTGAATCGTTTAATGTGTGTAAATTAAATGGTATTGCTGTCTTACCATGGAGTGCCTTAAAAGGGTAAGTAATGGGTTTTGAGAGGGTTCATCCTCATAGATTTTTAGAGGAGCTGAATGTCTTTCGAACCTAACATTATCGAAAATGGGTCAAAAGGCACATATTAATGTAATATAAACTGATTTACATTCATATTTTAAAACTTTTATTGCAGTTTCTAAAAAGTTTTGTTTTTCGAAAAAAGCGAGCAGTCCATATTGAATGCTTGTTTAATTTAGTCTACATAGCAAGTATGGTTTGACATTTCACTTATATTACCCACCGACGTTTAGCCCGAGGGCATTATAGTACACGCCAGCCTGTACTGGTTTTAAAATTGTTCACTGTGTCTTAAAAAGTTGATACCAGGAGCCCATATTTTCCCGGTAAAATAACCCCAATAAGTCGCGATTGTCGGAGACTGTGGATAATACTGAGTTAGAACGTTTAATTACATTTCATTTCTGAAAGACCCGCTTGAATTGTGTAAATCAGGCACAGGGAGGGAAATGAGGTTTAACGTCCACTCGACACAAACTAGGTCATTTGGGGACTAATATATGGTTCAATTTTATTTCAATAATTCGCGTGCGTGACGGGGGTCTTTATCAGTGGGAGAAAACCCACGAGGTGTGGACAGGCGACCCTAATCCCTGTCACGTACAACCGGGGAATCGAAACCACTCAATGGAAGACCATATAATGGAAGGCCATCCAACCCCCAGTTCTTATACAAATAGAACTATTATGATCATATGATGTTTTTCCTTTCTCAGTGGAGCATAATCTGGTTTTATACAAATAGCACTAGTATAATAATATCAGGTTTTTCCTATCCCAGTGGGGCATTATCTGGTTTTATACAAATAGCACTATTATAACTATGTTTTTCCTATCCCAGTGGGCCAATATCTGGTTTTATAAAAATAGCACTATTATAACTATGTTTTTCCTATCCCAGTGGGCCATTATCTGCTTAAATAAAATAACACTATTATAATTATGTTTTTCCTATCCCAGTGGGAATTATCTGGTTTAATAAACAAAAATGCCCTATTCTAATAATATCATGTTTTTCCTATCCCAGTGGGGCATTATCTGGTAAATATAAACGTGAAGAGAGGCCGGTAGCTGGAAGAATTGGTTGGGTTGCACAAGATGAAGCACAGAGAGGGAATCAGACTTTTCCATCTTGGGATAAGTTAGAAGGCAGTGACAAAATATGGAACACCATTGGGAAGTTGGAGGAGATCAGTAAAAGTAAAGGTCTGTAGTCTTAGTTCATATCATTTGCTTTTGTTGCCTCTTGTGTTGTCCATACAGTGTAAATTAATATGATTATCATGCCATAAATCGGAAGGAATTCGCAGAGTAGGGAACACCACTGGACATCTAGAGCTAATCGGTAGAAAAGAAATGAAATGAAATGGGGTTTAACGTCCTACTGTTCTGCTCCTAACCTGGGCTAATGAAGACGGGCATACGCCATACAGTGTGCTATGAGGGAAATTTTGCCGGGCAGCGGCGCTACGGCCTACTCTTATATCGAATTCCAACTGCCAAGGGATATTTTACGTGCACGCCAATTTGTACACGGGACCTCGGTTTTTCGTCCCATCCGAACGACTAGACAGCTGTCCTTGTCAGGCCCTCCGTCCTTCATCACTGACAAGGGGAAACCACGCCGGAAAATCGGGATGAACTTTCTCGGCCAATGCAGGGATCGAACACCCGACCGCCAGACTAGCGAGCCAGCGTCTTACCCACTTAGCCACGTGATCCTCTAATCGGTAGAAGTAAAGGCATATTTATAAAACAAAAACATATGTGTTTGTTTCCTTTTTGCATCGTAATTCAAAGAATTCAAAGAGAATCACTGAATGGCGTCTGTGTTTCAGTCAATCCGTTTAAATCACCGTTATCCAGTGGTCTACAGAGTTGATTAAAAACTTGTACTGATATCAAAATTATTGACCAGTAATAGACCGATTAAGCTCTTACATAATGCATTTCGAATCCCCGTTTGTACGTGACAAATAGTAGGGTCGCCTCTCCAACCTCTGAGTTTTCTCCGGGCCCTCTGGTCCCCCCCCCCCCCGCTTCTAAAGACCCCTACGTACAAGCGAATTATTGAAATAAAACTGAACCACATGTTAGTCCCGAAATGACCTAGTTTGCGTCGAGTGGACGTTAACCCCCCCCCCTCTCTCTCTCTCTCTCTCTCTCACACACACACACAAAATGCATCTTTAATAATTGTAGTTACATGTATTTTATTTACATGTATAATATTAACATTTGATTTGTTGCTAGGTAAATCGGTTGCCCAGGTAGCAATAAGATGGTTGTTACAGAGAGACGTTGTTTCGTCGGTGATAATTGGTGTCAGAAACCTTAAACAGTTAAACGACAATGCCGTTGCCAGTTCCGGTTGGAAGCTGACCAGAGAAGAGGTAAATAGTAACGCCTATTACGCTACAAAACGCGATCTCGTGGATAGGGTGGGCCTGAATTTTATAGGGTGTGGGCTTTAGATCATAAGGTCTGCCATTGAGACAAGTGACGTGGTTTCGTGATAAGGAGGAGGATCGTCTGTCCAACCTCGCGGTTTTTCTCCAGGTCCTCCCACTGCTAAACCCCTTTACACACAAGCGAATTAATGAAATACAAGGGAACCATATGTTAGTCCCGAAATGACCTAGTTTGTGTAGAGTCAACATTACGTCCCATCTCTCTCTCCCTCTCTCTCTCTCTCTCTCTCGCTCACTCCCCTGATCTTAGAAAAGAAACTTATATGGAATGAGTTCTACGTTTCTGCACCGACTGGGCTAATGAAGACGGGATTACCCCATACAGTGTGCTGTCCGGGAAATTTTGTCTGTTAAGCCGCGCTACTTTCTAATCGTATATCGAATTCCAATTATCAGGGGTTCTCGTACGTGGAAGTCAACGTGTACACCAGACTTCGTTTTTTTGTGCCATCCGAACGACTAGACACTGTGCTTGTCACGCTTCCGTTCTGCACCACTGACAAGGGGATCGAACCCTGGAAAAACTCACCGTGTCTCCCTAATTATTTATATAAGTCAATATAAACGTCCATGACTTTTCAAACGGTTCAAGAAGAAATATATAGTCGACAATCGGAATACTGACATTCTGATTTATTTACTTTCAGATGAAGGAATTAAATGAAGTTTCTATGCCAGACATTCCCTATCCTTATGAACAAATATGGCGGCAAAACGATTACAAAAACAACAAATATCTACCGAGTTACTTTGTGGATGATGTCACTAATTAGCATATTAATATCAATATGGATTGTTTATAATAATTATTGCTAATACATTTTTCATTTATAGAGACGTTTTATTCTTTCCGTGATCTCAGCATTAATATAAACAGAATTTTCACAGTGACATTTGTAGCCCAGAAGTTGCGAGCCCCTAGGCCAAAATCGATAAAATAATGTAGTAGATATTCCTCATTCGTAAACATTTTTCTGATTTGTCTGACTTCACCGGTTGTAGATAAATCATCTATCTGCAATACATAAACACTGGGCGGCATGAAGACCTGTTTGGTTTATTTTTTCGAACGAAAGAGATGGATTTCAATGGTTATCTTATTTTACCCGGTTACAATGTTGACATTTATACAAAAGATGAAACTCTGCAGGGTGTGGGTGAGGATGAGCTTGGGCATGGTGGCTCGGAGAGTATAACACAGGCCCGTAACTGGGGGGGGGGGGGGGCGCATGGAAGGCAAAGCCCCCCCCCCCCATGTGAAAAAATTGTGGACCATAACAACAATCGATAAACATTGTCCGTCAATTTTACAGCACCCCCCCCCCCCCCCGTTGCTCTGAGCTAGTTACGGCCCTGGTATGACATTGGCTCACTGTAAGGGGTCTTGATTTCGATCCCTTGGTAGCCGGAGAAAGTTCCTGGAGTGTTTTCATTGTGGTATTCTCTGTTGTCAGGGATACAGAATGGGTGATCCCGTGTACACGTAATTGTGCACGTTAAATATCCCTTGCCAGATGCATGGAGCAGAAAAGTACGAAACTAAAGACAGGACCTGTATAATCTGGAGACGTTCGGTCGATTAATTGCCTATGAAATAGTTTCAATCTATTGCTCAATAATTGTTACGAACCAAATACGTTGCCAATGGTGTTCCCATTATAAACTTCAATCGCTAATGCACAAAAGTCTATAAGTTGAGCCTGTGATATTTAGAAACTGTCCTAAGCTTAATTGCTTGGTTCCCTGGATCGGATTTACATAGCGGGGGCCCTGGGGTCATGTTGGTGGGGCCCCAATCACATTTCGATGAACGAGAAAAGACAGCCCAACTATTCACTTAAAATTCGTAAGTCATTTTAAACATAACGCAGTTAAATTTTTTTGAACATAATGTATGTAAGTGATGTTGATAATTCTTTAATGAGTTTTTATTGAAAGCTGGTATAACCTATATTATATATATTCCTACCTGTTATCTATTAACAGTATTTATTAAAGATACATTATGTGAAATTAGATTAAGAGCTAACAGTTCTCACTACAATAGTTAAAAACTAGATAATGTAAAGGGAATTTGCTGAAGATTTCAGTCAAATGGATCCACTCTGAACCGAGAACTAGCGATTGAATTTTTGGCCTAGACTCGCTCAGCATTACTAAATTCGGTACGATAAAACACATAGTCTCGATTATCCATTTCATGATTAAATCATGAATAAAAGTTGAGCAGCAAATCGGGTCCCAATCCAGTAAATATCGCATGCTTGCGATTATATCGAGAGTTGATTATGGTCTGGATAAATTAATTAATGTCTAATTAATAATTTAGATAACATTTCAGGCCTAAAGAAAGACCTGCAATAGGCAGATTTAGCTCTTGCATAATATATGTTTAACTAATACATATAAAATTTACAATGTTTATATATTATTTCACTATCATGTTTAAAATTGTAAAGCGTTATTAAAATAACTATGTATGAAAATGGTTACTTTTAAATCATTCAATCTTGTGTCTAATCATTTTGATACTTGTAAACAATAAGTTTGAATTAGTAATGTTGTGTTGGAATCATGTCGTATTAACGGTAAATACCAGTTTGTAGCTTTAGGTAAGCATGTAATCATGTTAAATTCTCTTACAGAAACATGCTCTTCTCTTCAACTCTCATCTTCTTTCAGTTACTGTAAAATTCAAATCACATGGAAATAAAACTCAGATAATTACCATCAGTTAAATTGAGAAAAGGATACAGTAGAGACAGTACAAGCAGGTCCGTTGGAAGGAGTAGGGGGTGACTGGGCTGGATATACCATTAAGCAAAATAAGCACGTGGTTAGGGCATGAAGTGAAGAAGGGACAGCGCACACATTTGCCATTGGCGGATTTACCATGGATCACCACCATACGTTACGAAGACGGGCATACGCCATACAGTGTGCTATGGGGGAACTTTTGCCTTGTCAGTGGTACTATGGCCTACTCTTTACTTCGAATTCCAAATGCCAAGGAATCTTTTACTAGCACGCCAATGTATACATGCGACCTCGGTTTTTCGTGCCATCCGAACGACTAGACAGCTGTCCTTGTCAGACCCTCCGTCCTGTACCACTAACAAGAGAAAAGGACGTCGGAAAATCCCGATGAATTTTTGAGGCCAATGCAGAGTCTCACTCAATTGGCCATTGTGACTCCCGAATATGCTCGTAAATATGTCACCTAAAATTAGTTTGGTTGCAATTTAGAAAAAGAAAGAGAAATTAATATCAATAAATATTATTTTCAATCAAATTTAAAATATTAAATTTAAAAATTGATTAAGAAATTTTAATTTCTTTTCCATTTTGTCTTTTCATACTGTCACCTGTTTTGTCGCAATTAATAATGACATGTAAAACAGAAAAAAACACGTGCTTGATGCTTGATGGTTGTTTATGCTTTGCAAACAAGCAAATCCGGGAGGCAACACCCTTTACAGACCGCAGAACCAGGGACTGCTAAGCTGAAAGGTAGCGACTGTGCCTGACACACAAGTGCTATTTCCGGCTATTTGGAACTGTAGGAGGCATGAATCGACAAAAGATATAAAAAAAACATCTAAAAGCTAGTGAAATAGATAGGAGAGGTATTTCAAAAGCACACATATTGACATCTTGAACAATATAAAAAAAAGTATGACGCTGCATATACTTATTCCTGCAATCAAAATATATTGGGGAGTTGTTTTGTTGTCAGTATTTCCTTGCTAGTGGGAGCCCCGGGAGTAAAATATATACACAATTCCAGAACACCTGGGTGCAATAATAGAACATCTCTAGAACATTTGGATTGTTATTATGATTAAATACCCCTACCCCTAACCATCCCGACCCAATCTCGAGACCCGAAAACAGACTCTCAAAATTTACTCGTTTTGCCACATAATTGTTCATGTTATAATAAGTTCGCCTATTAGACTTTTTGGACCTGGTCTATTGAAATTGTTAAACCTACCCGAGAGCTGAATGATATGGTCATATTGTTAAATTAACCTACCTGGGAGCTGAACGATATGGTCATGTTGGGATTTTTATAATTCCTCATAAAATCAATAAACTCCTTTTCCCACGCAGTGACCTTAGCAGGATCCATTATATTGCTTTGATTGTTGAGGACGAACGTGAGCACGTGAGCCGTCGCATTATTATAATCACCATGTCCTATAATAATAATAACGACAACAACAATAATAATAATAACGATATATCAACATAAGTGTTAGCTATGTGATTCAGAAATAGTGTCAGGTGTTCTAGTAAATATGAAAGATCCAGGACTGTTTTAAATAGAGTATTCAGAAGTCCGGGAAAAAGAGAATTTGAAATTAAAGTTGCGTTCATCCAGATTATGACACTCATAATATCAAACCTTCACTCAAACATGACTCGCGATCTAGCATGCCCGGGCCAAAGTTCCCTTATAGCACACACTCGGCAAACCTGGGCAGATTCCGTTACCCTACATCTAGCCTATAAGCTGTATGACGGTAAGTGATATGATCTACGCCTATACAATTGCGATGCGGCACCGGGAAACATAATAGGAAAACTTGCCGCTTTTAGAAAGAAGTTATCAAAATTGCGTCGTTCGAAGCTTGTGTAGAATTTTTAGTGCAAAGTTGTCCTTGTTTGAAGAAAATCGGATAAACTTGAAAGAAAAACTCGAAATAAGAGCATGTCCGGTTAAAATTTCCCTCGTCGCGCACTGTAAGACGTACGCCATCTCCATTAGTCCAGTCGGTGAAGTGAGGCGTTAAATCCTATTTCATTTAATACTTACCTGTGATACCATCGAGTACTAGCCACGGATGTACATGAAGACCAAATGTTCCCGTACACGACAGTCCCAGTACATCATTTATTAAACCACCACTAGTCCTAAAAATTAAAGAAACGCATTGATTTTATTCCTTCCATGTCAAAACTTCTCGATAGATCGTTTTTTTTTAAGGATTTTGAATCCCTTGCAAACTACAATATTGGGGAAAGTTGAATATAAGTCCAAATATGGTTCTGTGTTACTAAGTATTTAGTAATTACAAAGATCAGATTTCTGAAAGTTTCACAACATTGTCTTTTGCTCAATAGGTTGTCAACTCACTATAATACGATCATAGGTGTCATTCGCACACTTAAAACTCATTTACACCGGAAATAATAACACAATTACCTCCCAATTACCTCCCTTGTTTTCTATTCTCCACCATGGAGTAGCTTTTTTCAAACGTTTGAATTTGAAGAGGAAAATGATATTTTTGCCAATTTCTCAACTGGCAATAGTGAATTATAGGATTAATAGGATTATTCTTTAACAAGGTAGGACTGTTTATAGATACCATCTATTTTAAGGCTTTATTTTAATAAATTTTAAAAATATAACGTAAAAATATGAAATTGCAACTTTAAATTTGGGTAGACTTTTTGATGACCCCCAAAGATGTTAGCGTGGCGATCAGTAGCTATAAAGTCTTAATGTACTAGGCAGCCGCGGTGACTCAGTCAGTAAGACGTTGGTCCACTAACCTGGCAGACCCGTGTTCGACCCTGGTGTTGACCAAGAAAGTTCATCGGGATTTTCCGGCGTGGTTGCACCTCTTCAGTGATGCATGCCAAAAAGCCTGGCAAAGACAATGTATGGTCGTACTGATAATATGAAAAACCGAGGTCATGTTTAAGTATTGGCGTGCACTTAAAAAAAAACCTTGACACGTGGAATATTCGGAATAAGAGTAGACTAGCCCTAAGTGTCGTTGTCCTGGCCAAATTGACGTCATTGACACACTTTATAGCGTGTACCTTCTTCATTAGCGTAGTTGAAGCAGAACAGTAGGATGTTGTGACGTAACTTTCGACTGATTAAGTGTTTAATACCCATGAAAACATTTCTCGTGTGCAGTCAGCCACAACACACGTTTAGCATGCCCCATCCTGATTACAGAAGCTTCTCTACTGACATGTTTTGTTTCCAGTCAGGACAACATCATCGGTATTGCAGTACGTATTTACTATGTAACCAGGTACATGCGTACTACGGACCGGCAACCAACTTTGATGTAATCTCAGACATCTTGGAGTTATGACGTCGAATTCCGTCAATCGACGCGCTGTTGTCCAAGTTCAATGCCGATCGTACTTGAATCGACGTAACCATAGGATTCTTGAAGAGCGTCGCCACCAAGAACAAGAACAACACGATCAAACACAAGAAACAGAACACGATCAAACACAAGAAGAATAAGAAGACCGAGATGAATAGCGCTTTGGGCACAGAATAAGATCAAGCACAAGACGAAATGAAATGAAATAGTGTTTAACATCCTACTGTTCTGCCCCGAACTGGGCTAATGAAGACGGGCATACGCCATACAGTGTGCTATGAGGGAAATAATGCCCGGACAGCGGCGCTACGGCCTACTCTTATATTGAATTCCAACTGTCAAGGGATCTTTTCCGTGCACGCCAATGTGTAAACGGGACCTCGGTTTTTCGTCCCGAACGACTAGAGTACAAGAAGAATAAGATAAAGCACAAGAAGAATAAGGAGATGAGTAGCGCTTGGCGCACAGTTCTTCTTCCAGCTATCCAAGTTATAGAGTAACCTACATGTATATCGGTTTTATCACAGTAGCACAGCGGTGGCATATGAATTGCATATAGTTTCATGGGATCGAAATCTTCAGCGTATACTGATATATATCTGACCTATGTACTTACTGTACACACAGCGGGGGATCGAACTGTTGAACGTATACTGATATATATCTGACCTATGTACATACTGTACACACAGCGGGGGATCGAACTGTTCAACGTATACTGATATATATCTGACCTATGTACTTACTCTACACACAGAAGAAAATGATCGAGATAATCTGCCAGCACAAAAAAATGATATTCGTCCCATTTTTCTTTATCAAGATTGTAATGACTATTTTGATAATATTGTAATGGACTATATATAGAACAGTTGTTGTTCCACTGTGGCAAGGGATCATAGCATGTGTTTAGTAACACGGGAGGCTTCAAGCAAACATCATCTAGTGAAACAGTCTCGTTCTTAAACCTGGCTGTTAATTCGCTGATATCATTCTGAAGAGCTAAAACCTGAAATAAGAGACATACAGTTACAATAAGTTCTATCAAAAACTGTTGATTCTAAAGCTACTATTGATCTAGGTATATTTAACTCTTGATCGACCTAGTTATGACACTCTAGATCTAGTTACACTAGCTTTGATCGACCTAGTTATGTCTCTCTAGATCAAGTTATGCTATCTTACGATCTGGTTACCAGTTGCTTCAGTTATGCTATTTATCTACGATCTAGCTATGTGACTAGGTCGATCTAATTATGTGACTAGGTCGATCTATCTATGAGCCTAGGTCGATCTAGTTATGCGACCAGTTATGTTACTTCTTGACTGGTGCAGCTATTCTACCCTATCGTCTAGTTTTGTTGCGTCTTATGTTACCCTAGTAGTTATGTGTCATCTGGATCTAGTTATACTGCCGCCAGATCTACAGGTGTTAGTGACTACCTGATCTTTTACTTACCTGATGCATGAACTCGCGGTCAAATATCGGATCAAAATAGTCCACACCCGCAGCTGGTGGAGGCTTGTTGTGTTTTACACGAGGATGATAACCAGCTCGTCTTATAATCACCTGTTCTCTTCGATGCATAGGTCTGAAACCACAAACAGAAACCATCTTGGTTGGTTAAAATTCCATGAAGCGAACCCATGCAAGTATTTTAAAGAACAGGAGAACCCAGACATTCTATAAATTCTAGAACAGATTGGTACAACACTCTATGAACCTAGATAAAATGCTCTGGGACATGAACCGGTTAGTTATGACAATTCGTTAGCTATCAGAGGAAACCGGTGAAATAATTTGTTAAATCCCATTTCATTTCGTTAGCTATGAGAGGAAATTGTTGAAAGCCTATTACATAAGGCTGACGACCAGCTATGTTAATACTCACCCATAGTGTGAAACAAAATGCTTTTTCTCTTCTCTAACTCGACTGTCTTTGGCTGTGAAATCCATCTAAACACAAACAAACATTTTCAGAGATTCCTGCATTGTCACTTACAACCGCTGTTAGAACTCTAGCTTCAGTAGACATTTTGGCCTAAGATCCATGCATCGTACTAGTACTAATCAAAAGTGACTTTTGTCAACAATGCCCAGACTGTAGACAAAAGCGACCGATATGGAAGATTTATTACAAACATGTATAAATATTCTACGCAAAAGAACCAAAAGAAATTTATGCCAAAGAAATCCCACTAAAACCCTTTTTCCAATTAGAGTATATACCACTTTATATAGTTTAGCGTTCACGGTACATTCTAATTTAGATATTTTATAGTTTAAACATAATATAGGGTACAGTGTATGCTAGTTTAAATATTTCATCTTTACAACAATACAAAAATCAGTACAAAATATCAACTTCCCAAGTGGGAATATGAGTTATTAGAGAAAATTTACCTTGGTTACAGCCTTGTGTATTGTAGATTTACAGGGTATTAGTGGGCGTTTTAAAGGTTTTAATGTCCGGTTCCCAAATGGCACGATATCATCCGTGATATTAAAATTAATGCCAAAGGGTGTCTCGCCGTTCCGTCTATCGCCAATAAAATCTAACAATATTTCCGGCGTACAATCTTTAGCTGATCGACCACACAGAATACCGAGAGCTCGTTTCTTTGTGGACGCTATCATCACATTACGACAACAATTATACATTCCATAAGCAAATTCTGTCGATATGGTATAGTTGATGGCTGTAATTTGCGAGCCGTTGCTACTATTAACACCTAAAACAAGAGATATATGTATATGGCAATATCTATTGATGTGGTAATATCCATTCATATGGTAATATCTATTCATTGTGGTAATATCTATTCATTGTGGTAATATCTATTCATTGTGGTAATATCTATTCATATTCTAATATTGACATCAAAACGTCGCTGTCGGTTATTGTCTGTGATTGGGAGAGCTCTGTGCCCAAGTACCACCCACTTACCTAGAAAATCACTTTGATGAGGATCACAAGTCATGTAGCAATACATGTTGACAAAATTCTGGTAACATGCGTGACATCTTCCTAATATTTGATAAGGCAAAACCATTTCCTTTTCCAGAAATTTCAGTTGGTTCGTAGAACAGCACGTTTTGGTTTCCCGTCCTGGAAAACATACAAAATAAAATAATATAGTTTTCGTATTAATATTAAAAAAAATATCAAAAACGTCTATTTGAAAAACAGAACAACAAAAAAAAAAGAGAGAGAGAGAGAGAGAGATGGGGTTTAACGTCCACTCAACACAAACTAGGTCATTTCGGGTCTAACACATGGTTCAATTTTATTTCAATAATTCGCTTGCGTGTAGGGGTCTTTTGCAGTGGGAGGAAACTGGAGGACCCGGTGAAAACCCACGAGGTTGGACAGGCTACCCAAAGAACAACAAATTCCATTTGAAAGAAAAAGAAACAACAATGTCTATTTGATGAAAAAATATAGCCACACAAATCGTAGAATACGCCCACAAAGCAGCTTTGTCTCGACAAAAAAAGGTTGTAGCCTCTATCACGTCCACACGCTTTTCGGAAAAAGGGAAAGTAACTCCGGAAAAGAAGGGCTCGGAGCTCTGAATATCGTAAGGGTTCGCTTTTACATGACCGCAGGCTCTATCACGTTCACAAGGTTTTCAGAAAAGAAGGGTGCGGACCTCTCCTGGCCCGATATCTTCAATAGAAGGTATGACCTCGCTTTAACTCAGTACATCTTATCAAAATCTTCTCGTAAAATCCTGAGACAATGTATCCTGGTCTTGAAAATTTTTGAGAAATACATGGTCTCTATCGTCATACATACACACTGAGTTTTTCAAAGAGAGAAATCCAAACCCCCTGTTGGACGTCAATTTTTATTATGAATTAATAGGATTACATTGTGATTCAATTTCATTGATGCAAAGCATTAATTGTGATATTACAAATGTCTATATCATTATCTCGCGCGTTGAATGCACATCTCATCCCATCTGGTGATAAAGGATAAAGCACACGACCGTGACATTTTTCTCATAAAATAGTTTTGTTTTACAATTTTTTTATGTAGCTGAACAGGTGCCCCCCCCCCCCCCACACACACACACACACGGATCCGCCCCTGCTTCGGATTCCTCCATCATTGCGAATACCAAGTCTCAAGGTTTCCAGCTAAAATGCCTACCTGTGATAATCGAGTTGCAAAGTTCAAGGTTCGTTCAATGTCAAGGTTTCCGTGGAGGTCGCTATATTTGATTTGACGGTGTTAGTGTCACAACTTCTGACTGAGCGCCACTGTGCACGTGTCTGCAGACCTATAGCCCCTATCGGATTCAAAAGGTTTCAAACAATTTTATAGCTTGGGTTAGGGTTAAAGTTACAATTTCATATGTTCTAAGAAAGTCAAAACATTATTTTGTCTATGTCTTTTGCTCAACAGGTTGTCAACTCACTATTATACGATCATAGGTTATCTTTCTCACACTTAAAAATCTTCCCACCGGAAATAATAACACAATTACCTCCCGATTACCTCCCTTGATTTCATGTTCCCCACCATGGAATAGCTATCTTCAAACGTTTGAATTTTAAGTTGAAAATGATATTTTTGCCAATTTCTCAACTGGCAATAGTGAATTATAGGATTAATAGGATTATTCTTTAACAAGGTAGGACTGTTTATAGATACCATCTATTTTAGGGCTTTATTGTAATACATTTTAAAAATATAACTTAAAAATATGAAATTGTAACTTTAAGTAGACTTGTAGACAGATTTTACGTAAATACGAGGGTTATTGTTGTGATCATATTCATCTAATTATCGCAAAAAGAAACTTTACTAAGGGCTTAAGATCAATTCTATAATGGTTAGAAATTTATTAAATTGTTTATATTTCATTCTTTCATTAATTCGTTCCTTCATTATTCATCCATTCAATTAAACATTTCTATTAATCACTATCAATCTCTCATTTGTAATTAGATGTTAAGCTACTAATCTAATAACAGACGGTTGACAGCTGACACATTAATGAGTTGAATTGCTAAATGTATCTTATTATTTTTTATTTTATTGCAATGTCTTTTATATTTTAATCTTTCCTCTTTAATTGTTATTAGTAACTTTGGTGTATGTTAATTCCTTAGATACCATTTTATTGTAAATACCACTTTGTACATTTATATAGCATTCTAGGTTTCATCCCGTTTCCAAGACAGTTACTCTGCTTGTAGGATGTTTTCGGTAATAAATAGTTCCAAGGATAGTTCTAGTCTTTGGGTATTACCGAAGATTTACACTACTTAAATACCATGAACACTGTGACCTCAATCATTCTAACAAATAGTTCTCAAAAACAAGGTGCATAATTATCAATCAGATTTCATCAATACATTTTACCTGAATCATTAATATCTGTTAAAATACAGATGTGACGTCATCCTTTGATGTTGGAGTACCATTATTTCAAATAATCGTACGGGAAATGTGCCAAGAGTAACTTGGTAAAATATTGAACTCGAGTGACGTATTTCATTGCAAAGCACGTGCAAGTGTCTGTATTTTAAGTTGTTTAATGGTCTCGAGCTTAAGACATTGCGTAATATATTGTAAAAACATTCGGGCCTCACGGCCCTCATGTTGTTACAATATATTACTTAATGTCTCGCTCTCGACCATTAAACCACACATAATTAATCTGGACTCTATCGTGCTAAAGAGTATTACAAGCGGTGGTCACAGGTTTCGGGGGACAAGGAGGATAATATTAATTCGATTTTAACGAAATCTTGTCACCATTAAAAAGAATCTGTTCAAAATTCTTGCCTCTATCGCACTGACAAGCATTAGACCTTCAAACAGTCTTCACGTGTTTCGGCAAAAAAGGGGCTTAATATTAAATGGAATTTTTGACGAAACAGGATCGTCGCCTGACATTATACAAGTTTCGTGAAAGTTTCTGAACATAATCAATAAAAACAGTAGGCTATAAAGGGGGATAACTCTAGCAAAAAATGTGAAACCTCGTCTGATCATAAATACAAATTCCTAAATCGTTCTGAGAAATCCGATCAAAAATACAACCTCTTGTGCGCTGACTAGAATGTGTGGAGGGACGGGGTTATTACAATATACGTCCACTTAGTAGATAAGATTAAGATATGTCACATTATTATTTCTAACTACGGTGCGTTTTGGAACACAGACATGTCTTGAAACAATACATAGGTTACAATTCTAAAGAAATATTTTGAAATATGTATCTTCAGTTCAAGTATTATGATATGTTTAATAGCTTTAAAGCATTGTATTCTTGATAATCTAGGTGTCTAGAACAGAATTACCCGTATAGAGAGAAGGGCAATATTTCTGCAATATTTTCAAACCAGTTGTACCATTAAGTTGTTTAGCTGGACCGTTGTATACACAGTTTAATGTTTTGTCAGTTAAAGGGTCTTGGCCACATGTGTCATACCAAATACATTGTCCATTATCATCCCTTACTGAATTAATCTGTAATAATAATAATAACTAATCTGTAATAATAATAATAATAATCTGCAATAATAACAATAATAATCTATAATAATAATAACTAATCTGTACTAATGTTAATAACTAATCTGTTCTAATATTAATAACTAATCTGTAATAATAATAATAATAACTAATCTGTAATAATAATAATAACTAATCTGTACTAATATTAATAACTAATCTGTAATAATAATAATAACTAATCTGTAATAATAATAATAATAATCTGCAATAATAATAATAATAATACACTGAAAAAAAACTTGTGTTGGATCTCAACACAAGTACTTGTGTGAAAATTATTCTACACAAGTTATGTGTTGTTTTGCATTGCATTAACACAAACTTGTGTTCTTTTTAATGCATTAACACAAATCTTGTGTTTTTTTCATATAATTAACACAAGTAATGTGTACCTTCAACAAATATTTTTTTTTTAAATTTGAACTCCATACAAAGTCTTAATCCGGGGGTCCACAAGTAAGAGAAAGGTATTTTTTACTCAGACAATATAGCCAGACAGACTTGAATGCTAATTGGTGTTAAGATGTCTGTAGTTAAAATAAAGTTGGGCCCAATAAACTGGTAGATCAAAGGCCTGTTGAGCGCTCATGCCCGGTGTGATTTTAACAATTGACTCCAAATGCGTTGACAAGAAAATAAGTAAAACTGTTATTGAATGTGATTGGTTGATAAAATCAACGTACTATAGGCTACATTTTGTCTGCGATATCATCTCGGTGGAAGCGGACATTAAATGAAGTGATTTCACACAATTAATTTAACATTTAACAACGTGCTGAAATGATTTTGGAGCAGTGATATGTTTGACAAATGTAAGCTAATGGTCACATAGAATACAAGACCGCAGGTTTGTGAATATTTATATAAAAAAAATAATACAATGTATGTAATTTAGCATCGATATTGTTTCTCTGTATAATATTAGTATTTCGTTTCCTTAAAAAAACCTCCAACAATTTAAACCGGAAGTTCATGTTTATAATATGGCGCGGTCAGGAAAAAAATTTCGGCATGTTATTATCAAATCTGTTCAATTTTTCTGAAATCATGCTTAATTAACATTAGTTGTTCGGCGCTACGATGTTGTTCAAATACTTACATTACAGAATCACATTATGATTAAAGCAGAAACGGTTCGACTTGAACCAGCAGGTAAGAATCTGTTTTGAAATTATATCTTGGGAGGTTGGATTGGCGTTGGAGACCCGATTGGCGGCCATTTTGATTCTTGTTTCATGATTTTTTTTATATTATAACGATTTTGCCAAGAGTAGACATAAACGCGGGCACAGACTAGAAAAAAATCTTTTTACACTTTTGTGTTAGTTGAATTGTAATCTAATTTATGTTTAAAAAAACAACCTTAAATCTAATAAGCAGACGGAAGATATGGACGAACAACAAGAAGAAGTTATGGAGGTCCCAACAACTGAACCTATGGAAGTAGAAGAATCGTTTACAGCCGAAACCCGATACGATGTGCCAGTTCCGGTTATTGAGTCCTCCATCTCAGACGATGCCGACGTTAGTGTCTTCTGCGACGAAGAACCCGTAGTGGTGTATCACTATAAACCTCAGAATGCCTCGTTCGGCATTTCTGTCCAAACGAGGCAAAAACGTGTGAAAATTTTTGCCCCGATTTTGCCTCGTTGTAACGAGGTAAAAAAAATACCTCCGGTTTTTTTTTTAAATTGCCCTGTTTTTGGAACGAGGTATTTTGTTCAGAACGAGGCTGGGTAAAATTGCCTCGTTTACTAAACGAGGTATTTTATCCAAGATAATTATTAGCGGTATTTGCTGTCAACAAATAGAGCCATACAAATAATGTTCGGACCATCATGTGACCAATTGCAGATCTACAAATTAGATTATTTATTTGGGACATGATATTGTTCATAGTTATGGCTTACTACACTGGAGTTCTATTATGTATAATAAACGCTTCCCGAGCGAAACAAAACATAACAATGTCACGTGACAATATTACATATGGCTGATACAAGCGTTCTTTGATTACATGCTGTTTGGTTTGATTATTAAATAATACGGCAATCTGTATATATGGGAAAAGGAGAATGAATTTCCCCAAATCCAAAACTAGATGACTGGAATATTTATTGAATGGAAAGTAAATATTTTATAAACAAAAATATTCGGATTTGCAGTATCCTAGCTTGGATGGATTTGTGATTTGAATCTCGAACTCAGTGTTTTATACATTTTATTATACAATTGTAATAAATGTTTTACATGAATGAATAAAATCTACAATTTAAAACAGTACAATAACATTGTGATTTGACGCTCTACAAATCACTAAGAGTATAACAATTGCTTGTTGAAAAAGCGTTATTAATATGTTTTTTTCCATTTATTATTTTTTAAAAATATATTCAAAAAGAATGCGTCTTTTACAGATTTCAATATAACCACAAATGGTTGATTGTTTTAATGCTAAGATAAGTATTAATGGTTTGTATTGGAAAATCAAATTATATAAGCGAAAAATAGTAAGATACATTATGTATATCTTAAACACCGTTTTGCTATGTTATTATTTTTTTATGATTGGGTGGGGGTATACTTAATTAGGGGATTGGATTGAAAGATTATAGCTACCATCTTATGGAGACATAATGTGTGGTACATTTACGGTCTTATAAAGCTCTATTCTGACATAAAGAATTCTTGATTCGCACGGAAGTGTTTTAGCCGTGATCATTTTTAGTCATGCTTATGCCAAGATCTGGGTAAGTGTTAATTTAACTAGATATCAGAAAAGTACCACGTTTTCATAAATGTACTCTTTAGATAAATTGTACAATATTTATCAGTTCACTAGTTACAATAAAATCATGCATTATAGCTATTTTTATTTATTTATCCCTGGTGCTTCAAATTCAATTTAGGGTGCCTCAACATATTTAAAAATATGTTTTAAAGCTTTAGGTCATTTTATTATATCTTTCTACCATAAATAATAGCCCGAATTTAGGTATACCAAAAGTTAAAGAAATATAAACAGTTCAGATATGACTGCCAAAATTGTCACCAACACACATGTCGTGTTTAGGCTAAAATCTAACCAGAAAAGTATTGTCAATACATAATAAAATATATATTGCATTAATCAATTCCATTCCGCAATTGGTTTGTCTTAAACTCGTCATTTGTGTTCATGGGCATCAGGGTCGAGATGGCAACGTTATATGTTTTATTCGTCTAATTTACTATAAAACATCATTCGGTTTGCCTCACGGGTTAACGGCATATTAATAGCTTTATTCACTGAGATGGTTCCTTTACTTATAGTTTATTTTTCGAATTGCTTTTTGTATTTATTTAAATGGAAATATTAACAACATTCTATAAGTCAATCCACGAACATACCCAATTTCAATATTTGCGTGTTGACCTTTAACATCACACTTAGATCCTGTACGCTTTGTGTCTTACAGTCAATACATGTCATGAAGAACTCTTTAGACATAATTTCGTTTATAATACTTTTCTCGTTTCTATTGAGTTGTTTAGCAGAAGTAACCCATGACAACAATATGTTGAGACGACTACGTAACAGAATAGGACGATTCAATGTTATTAAAATGACACAATGACAATTTTAATTTTATTACCAACCCTTTCACAATATTTGAATGAAATATCTCACACAGGGTGTTAATCTGTTTTCAGTTTCTATTCCAATTCAATAAAACATTAAATACATGTCTTGGCTTGATTCATTATTTACAATTTAATACGTTAATCGTGTATTTTAAATAATACAGTTCAAGAGATCAAAACATTTCCGAATTTATACATTCAACATTACACGTAGACCTAAATGTATTTTTCAAATACGTGTATAAACATTTATATGAAATATATTATAAACAGATATGCTATGACCAGAGTTGCCATTATCTTTATTATTCGACTGGAAAACTCCTGTCATTCACTCTGTCGTTCGACTGATCCATCATTCACGTTGTCATTTGCGAGTCTGAAATTTGGGGTATAGGGGTAGCTCGGACCGGGGAGTAACATAGGCCAGGTGGCGTTAGTCTACCATTTCCGGTTTCGGAGTTATGACCCCCGGGCATTCTTCTAGTATATAAATAAATATATAAATAAATCATCTTCATGGTCATCATCATCGTGATCATCACTATTTAACACCAATCATCGTCGCCTGACAATTACCTTATCTATTCAAAGCGCTTGTTTAGTTTTAAATACTTGTGAACTTTACTAAAACTCACTTTGTTGAACGGGTTACTTTCGTTGGTATCGCCATATAGGAACGCTTTTGTATTTATGGATTTAAATGGGAGGGTATTTAATGTTGAGATACGCTGAGACGAATAATTTGGGCAGTGCAGAAAATAATGGTCGCTGTCTTCTTGAGTATGACCACAACTGCATGTCGGGTTATGTGAAATATGCATTAAAAATCTATGGAAGTTTAGAGCACTTTTACAATTACGAAGTCTGGAATGTATAATCTGAAATTTACGTTCTCCATAGTAACATCTTACTGACATCAATAAATACAAAAATATGACTAAGTCGAAAGTCAACAAGACGGTATAAAAGCCAAAATGCAAGTCGAAAATAAGAAATTAGGAAAAAAAACGAGGGGCGCTATTATCGCAGTGTATAATTTCTTGATTTCCTATTTTCGAGTCGATTTTGGCTTGTATACCGTTACTGTCGCCTCACATTTTGTCGTAACTGCTACTTTTCGACTTTCGTGTTTTGGAGGGTGAAAAGTAGAAATTAAGAATGGTAGGCTTCTATAGTTAGGCGTTTGTATATATGACTGTATACTTGACACATGTACGACCTGAATGGCTGAATGGCCGGTAACCAAATATGTTATTGTGAGTGTTAAACGACATCGTAATTATTTTATATTTTGCAAAAAAAACAAACAACAAAAAACAAAACAAAAAAAACACAAGCCGTGATTGCCATTACTACAATACGGATTACTAAATATACTTTGTGTTCAATTTTATATTTTAATACTGAAGACAGGGCCGGACTATAAATGAACAAGGCGGATCCTTTTGGCTTATATTGAGTAATTATTGCAACGTGTTACAGTTGAAAGTTCCAAAGCATTTTCACATTCCATGTCCGATAAATTTAATCATCATGCAACTACTGATTGGTGGGTCGTCGAAACATTTAGATGCATACATCACAGCACCGTGGTTTAGACAAATTGCAATTGAACTAGTTTTATTGTTGTACACATAATGAAAGAAACTGTGTTATTTCACAGCTGAATTCTATGGTAAGAACCGTAGAACCACCTTGTAGGGAATAACTTTTAAACTTTAACACCCTATACACACTCTGCCAGCGGCATCTTTGACCCACACTCTCTTAACATTAATCCAAACTTTAAATCTTTCAACGGTTTAACAAGAAGGTGCTAAATATTTCCATTTAAATAAATACAAAAAGCAATTCGAAAAATAAACTATAAGTAAAGGAACCATCTCAGTGAATAAAGCTATTAATATGCCGTTAACCCGTGAGGCAAACCGAATGATGTTTTATAGTAAATTAGACGAATAAAACATATAAAGTTGCCATCTCGACCCTGATGCCCATGAACACATGGGCCAGTGACGGGCTGTTCGCGAGAAATAAAGAGGTTTATTTCTATTTCCAGTTGAAACCATATTTATTTCTTATTTTCTCACTGTTTTTTATTGCATATTTATCCCCAGCCTCCTATCATTTCAGGTGCCAGGGCAATGTTTCATAGAGTGGAATGATTGACCTCAACACAAGTATTATAAAAAAAAGAAGCAAAACAGGTGAGATAAATGTGCATTTCATATACTTTAAGAAGTACATCCAACCTCATCCCCACTTCTGCTGACTAATAGTAATGGGCTGGAAATTTGGTACTGCACAGGCCTGTCTTCTCCCCTTGACATTTAACTGAATGACAGAATTCCACATTTTGACCATTTTCTGGATGTCAATGACCATTTCCCTGGATAGTATTCGCCCCAGAATTCTCATTCTCATCCAAATTTAACATTTCAGGTCTACATCTCAAAACCTGATCTCTTCCTGGACTGGCTTTAGGAGAACGATGATGCATATCAATTTCATCCCTGATCTCTATGACACCTGTGGTGGAAGTGGAGGGCAAATCGTAATCAGTTTGGGTTCCAGCCCCGAGGACCTCTGTAAACTTTGCTTTTTGGTGATGACTTAATTTCCGAGCTTGAAAAGGACGCTTGTGTGTTTATCATGGCCTCTCATATTGGAAGATAACATTAATGGCTTGTGTGTTGATCGACGGTTGTGCATATCTCTTGGTCAGGAAAGTTGTGAACGGGGCGACCTATGATTGGTCAGCAATGTATCAGATTCCATACCGGGGGGTGGGGATGAAAAAACTGTTGTAGTGTTACATAATCAGAGTATTTCAACTTACTTATCCTGTGGAAATACAGCTATATAGGAGATATTTTGAAATTCATAGGCACTGCATGTTTCAACATTTTAGATTTGACCACAATCTGGCACTTGAAACTACGTTAACAGAGAAAAACTGTGTGGTTTTCGATGAAAGTGTTAAAAGTCTAATATTGCATCATGATTACTGTTTTAAAGTATTTTCGTGTTTGATTTATATTGAATTCATCTCATCTTTTTGAAGAATGCATTTATGTTCAAAAATAAAAATGTTCTGTGGAATTCAAAATTCATGTGCTTTTAAATTATCAGATTCCAAACTGGGGGGTAGGGATGAAAAAGCTGTTGTAGTGTTACATAATCAGATTATTTCAACTTACTTATCCTATGGAAATACAGCTATATAGGAGATATTTTAAAATTGATAGGCACTGCATGTTTCAACATTTTAGATTTGACCACAATTTGGCACTTGAAACTACGTTAACAGAGAAAAACTGTGTGGTTTTCGATGAAAGTGTTAAAAAGTCTAATATTGCATCATGATTACTGTTTTAAAGTATTTTCGTGTTTGATTTATATTGAATTGTATTTAGAAAACGGAGGAAACCGAATGACCCAGCGAAAAAACTCAAGAGATTGGACAGGCGACTCTACTCCTTGAAATTGAAACCATGCCACTTAACACAATGACAGACCCTGTGATTTCATGCGCATGCATTACCTACTAGACCATTCCCCCCAGCCCCACCCCATATCGAAAAAAAGTATGACTTATTTCAAATATGATATTTACATATAAAGAAAGTAGAGAGACTTCAATCTTACTAGAAAAATACTAGATTACCTGAAATGAAATGGGGTTTAAAGACAACGTCCTACTGGTCAGCTCCGACTGGTCTAATGCATTGTGCTAAGTGAAAATGTTTGTCTGGGCAGCGACACTATGGCCTACTCTCATACTGAATTCAAACTGCCAAGAGAACTTTTATGTGTATGCCAATGTGTACATTGGATCTCAGGGGAAACCACTCTGCAAAATCAAGATGAGCTTTCTCGGTCAACCCCAAGAGATAACCTGTGGCCTCCATGCTAGTGTGCCAGCACCTAATTTACTCAGTCACCATGGCCGTCTTCTAATTACTGCGACAGTGAAACCATGTGACAAACAAGGATTATTAAGATAGACTTTTACGGCTTGGTAGTTCCTTGGGATTAAAACTTTTGATACATATAGATACATTAGTTTCAATTTCATATCACACAGTTTGTATATATGGTAAGGTAGCTTTAATCGTAAATTACATATCATGTATTTATTTTTTCAGTTTCAATATTGGATGTATATGCAAATCACCCAGAAAAAGATCATGTAATAACAAAAGAAATTATAAAAGAAAAAAAGGAAGAAGAAATGGCTGGAAAAAATGACGATAGAACACCTTTTTCTTGGTGGGTAACTATTCAATTCTAATAGAAAAGATTGTTATGCTATTTTGAAATCTAAAATTCAGTTTAGTATAGTTAAACTGTACACGTCATGTATGAGCAGAGACAGAATCTTAGTTATATGTAGATATCACTGTCTCATCTGTGGCAAAGCAAACCAACACATGAAACAAAACAAATGTAATTAAAGTAACATTTTTTTAATTAATCAAAACTGTCTAGTCAATTTAAGCCAACTAATACATTGCCATTTTTTTTTCAGTTACCCACCTCGGAAGATCAAGTTGGAAAGGGCTATTGATATTGTGGAGACGTTTTCTCACAGATCTTGCTTATCAGACAAAGACTATGTAAGTACCATGCATATTTGCTTTTTAAATCAGGAACTGGTTCTATACACTTGGTGGGGGGGGGGGGGTTGGATGGACGTTAAACCCCATTTCTCTCTCTCTCTCCTAAATATTGAGATTTTTGTTTACTTTTAAACTGCATATATTCAAGGTATCAGGAGCTTTTTATGGCTCCCGTACAATTTTATAAACATGAAGGACTGTACCTTTTGAATATTAAGCCATCAAATTATTTTATAATTTTGAAAATGAAATGAAATGGGGTTTAACATCCTACTGTTTTGCTCATAAATTGGGCTAATGAAGACGGGCATACGCCATACAGTGTGCTATGAAGGGAATTTTGCCCGGGCAGCGGCGCTACAGCCTACTCTTATATCGAATTCCAATTGCCAAGGAATCTTTTATGTGCACGCCAATGTGTACACGGGACCTCGGTTTTTCGTCCCATCCGAACGACTAGACAGCTGTCCTTGTCAGGTCCTCCGTCCTGTATCACTGACAAGGGGAAAACACGCAAAATGTAAGTAACATATATATTTGTATTTTTAATCAGGAAGTACTTCTATACACTTGCTTGGTAATCTAGTTATTCTTCTTGGGGCAATGCCTAGGACTCTGCTGTTTCAAGTACTTGGCATGCTTGATTTTTGCCAATCACATCCATTGATTTCCTTCAAGTTGCGATAGGCCCTACATGTATGTGTATTTTTACAGTAAATAGCAGTAAAATAATGATGGACAGTATTTTACTTTCAAATAGATTTCAGTAGATTTTAAAGGGTAATATCCAATTTGTTGTCAATGGAAATAAAATAAGAATGGGTCCAAAAATAATTAGACATTACGCAAAGTTGAAACCAAATAGAGACTCGGTCTCGATGTGGCAAAATAAATTGTTTATTTAAACGTTGTGAACCATAGAAAGTATTCTTATCTCCTACTTTTTATTTTTTAGGCTGGAACACCATTGAAAGAGTATTTGCTGTATGATAACAACAAGAAAACCCAAGCATCAATTTATTTTATACTTCTGGGAAAGAATGCATTTGACCCAATTTTTAAATATTTATTTTTTGTTATTAATGTTAAATTTTCTTCCAAAACACAATTAGATTTTAATTCTCTTCAGAAATGTATGTATAATATAGCAAGTAAAGTGGCATATAAATCACTTAGAATTTGGTCAGAAATCATAAAGTATTTAATAGGCATTACTAGAAACCAAATGTAGATCAAATACACCCAGAATTACAAAAAACCTTGACCTACATAAAGGTGACTTGACTTTCCCTTGCTTATGAAATGAAATACGGTTTAGTATCCTACTTTTCTGTGTTCTTAGAGTGATTCTGCCCTACACCCTACTCTTATATCAAATATTTCAACTGCCAAGGGTTCTTTAACGGGAACCCGGGGGGGGGGGGCAATGATTAACACGCACACATTTGATCAGGAAGTCTGTCATTGAGTCAAATAATTCAATTGTCAAGGCTTCTTCTAAGTGAACGCAGTGGGGATGGTTTCGATTCCGGGAATGGGGGAGGGGGTGGTGGATGGCCGAATGGTAAGCATGTGCGTGCGGTATCATACGGCCTGTCATTGAGTCAACTGGCGTGGTTTCGAATCCCCGGTTGTACGTGACAAGGAGTAGGGTCGCCTGTCCAATCTTGTGGGTTTTCTACGGGACCTACGGTTTCCTCCCACTGCTAAAGACCCCTATGCGCAACGAATTATTGAAATAAAATTAAACCATATGTTAATCCCGAAATGACCTAGTTTGTGTCAAGTGGACGTTAAACCCCATTTCTCTCTCTCTCTCTTTCGATTCCGGGCTTGTACCCAATTATCCCTTGCCATATCCAAGACTACTGACAAGTGGGAACTATGCCGGAAAATCCAGTTGAAATTTCTCGGCCAACACCTTATACTTACTGAACCACTGTGGCTTATGACTTGTGATTGTATATAAATTTTTTGTACATATGATATTTTTTTATTTCAATCCTGTAATCTTGATGCTTTGCTTCTTTTATTTACAAAATATTCATTTTGTTTGGGGTTTTTTAATGAGGAAAAGGTTTTACATCATTTTATTACTCCTGCAAAATAGTGCATTTTTCTTTTGTTAGTTTTCTGTGTATATTAGTTATTTCTATATGTCTCACAAATCACTTGTAGTGTGATTTTGTAGCACTTTTCAGTTTTTGAAATTGTTTCAATTTAGTGCATAATTAATCTTAGTGCTTGGTTTGGATGTTATTAAATTTAGATATTATTTGAATTATATATTTTGGAGTATGGGGTAGGGATACTGTGTACATATCTTTATATTCTCAGTTCTTGTTTTGGGGTAAAGAACAATTTATATAGCTATTTTATATTTTGTGATAGGTAAAATGTGTGGGGTTAAGAAAAATTTAAAAAGCTATGTTATATTTTGTGATGGGTAAAGTGGGGTGTGTGTGTGTGTGGGGGAGGGGGGGGGGTCATTATATATAACACAATATAATTAGTATTAGAATTCTCTGTTTTTCTGTTAACATTTCAAATATCTATTTAGTTTTGATGTATTAATTTACTTTTTCCTATGATTTTATGAATAAATAATAATCTTACAAAAACAAAAACAAATTTTGTTTCCTTCTTTTATCAAACTTTACAGGTCTAACAGAGCAAAGAGATGGGTCCTGCATAAAAAGGTTGCTATACTGTATATAAATTGGGGACAAACACAACACAAGTTTTTGTGGATGGTTATACACAAGTTTGTATGAAACCACACAAGTTTCAGAAATTTCAACACAAGTTTCAGAAATTTTAACACAAGTTTCAGAAATTTCAACACAAGTTTCAAAAATTTCAACACAAGTTTCAAAAATTTCAACACAAGTATTGTGTAGATTTTCACACAAGTTTCAACACAAGTTTGTGTTGTTTGATAAATTTTAACACAAGTTTTGTGTTGTTTCAACATTTAACACAAGTTTTGTGTTGTTTCAACACAAGTTTGTGTTGTTAAATAGAGACACCTTACTTGTGTTGAAAACAACACAAGTTTGTGTTGTTTCAACACAAGTTTTTTTTCAGTGTAACTAATCTGTAATAATATTAATAACTAATCTGTAAAAATAATAATCTGTAATAATAATAATAACTAATCTGTAATAATAATAACTAATTAAAACAGAGCAACAAGTTTAATCTGTGACCTTTTACCTTTAAAGAAAGAGATGTGCGTTCTTCCTATAACAGTTCAACAATAAATAATGAAAAATGAGTGTGTTCAAAATAAGTCAAATCACTTTATTCTGAGCGAGGCTTTGACAAGAAATAGCCATAGTTGGTAAATAGAAACCCTCGCCGTCAACAGTTTAAAAATTTTTGATTGACAAGTACCATTGCCATGATAATAAACGAAGTCTTGATTATCAGGCGTCTTCAGCTATATTACCGTGCGTGGGAATAAATGTCTAAATAATAATTTATATAACATTTGAAGCCCGAATAACGCAGGTTTAGCTCCCACGCAACTCTTTAATCCTATAAAAATAAAATTGGAAATAAAATTGAACCATATTTTGTGCCGACATAACCTAGTTTCTCTCTGGTTATCGAAATGAAATAGGGTTTTACTTCCTACTGTTCTGCACCGACTTGGCTAAATGAAGACGTTTGTCCAATACTAATACGTCATCATTTTTATCTAAATCACTAACTATCCCTTAAAGCAAGATAAAGAGAGAGGGACTAACATATTGTTTTTAATTTTATTTCAATAATTCGCTTGCGCGTAGGGGTCTTTAGCAGTGGGAGGAAAGCAAGATAAACACGTGACCTGTAAATAGCAGGTACGTGGTGTGGTTTGTTCTAACAACAGATAACCTGTAAGTAGCAGGTGCGTGGTAGAGTGTTTCGATTATTGATAAAAGGTCTGGTGTAGACAACAAGGGCAATAAACCCGATTTAGTTTTGTTAGACTTACCTCTTCAACAAGACTAGCCAATAGTAGGTAAACAAGAAGATACTTCAACCAAACCATCTTGTCGACAGTCTGTTTAACAACACGTTATATAATATAGTCTACCGTGCAATATGTTACAAACAGAGCAACAACACCTTATAATATATATAGTCTACCGTACAATATATTACTAACAGAGCAACAACCAAATATATTCACAGTTCAAACAGGATGTAATATCATGTGACGTCAAGTGATAAGATATTGTGCAATTCACATTACTATAACCTCTATAATACTATTAGTTTAAAATAGACCTGAGTACCCGTTTCCTACGGAGCCCCTTAAGTGCACGATTCCACTCTTACATAATTTTTTCGGGCATGATTCCACTCTAATATAATTATTTCATTTAAACGAAATACTAATTCGTTATAACGAAATAATTAATTCGTTTAAACGAAATAATTAATTCGTTATTACGAAATATTATTTCGTTTATACGAAATATTATTTCGTTTATACGAAATATTATTTCGTTAATAATAATTAATTAATTCGTTATAACGAACTATTATTTCGTTAATACGAAATATTATTCCGTTAATACGAATTAATTACCTCGTTTAAACGAATTAATTATTTCGTTTAAACGAATTAATTATTTCGTTATAACGAAATAATTAATTCGTTATAACGAAATAATTAATTCGTTATAACGAAATAAGTAATTCGTTTAAACGAAATAACGAATTCGTTTAAACGAAATAATTAATTCGTTTAAACGAATTAGTTATTTCGTTTAAACGAATTAATAACTAATTCGTTTAAACGAAATAATTAATTCGTTTAAACGAAATAATATTTCGTATTAACGAAATAACATTTCGTATTAACGGAATAATATTTCGTATTAACGAAATAATATTTCGTATTAAAGAAATAATATTTCGTTATAACGAATTAATTATTTCGTTTAAACGAATTAGTTATTAATTCGTTTAAACGAAATAACTAATTCGTTTAAACGAATTAATTATTTCGTTTAAACGAATTCGTTATTTCGTTTAAACGAATTACTTATTTCGTTATAACGAATTAATTATTTCGTTATAACGAATTAATTATTTCGTTATAACGAAATAATTAATTCGTTTAAACGAAATAATTAATTCGTTATAAGGAAATATAAATTCGTTATAACGAATTAATATTTCGTTATAACGAATTAATATTTCGTTTAAATGAATTAATATTTCGTTATAACGAATTAATATTTCGTTATAACGAATTAGTATTTCGTTTAAACAAAATATTAATTGGTTATAACGAAATATTAATTCGTTATAACGAATTAATATTTCGTTATAACGAATTAATATTTCGTTTAAACGAATTAATATTTCGTTAAAACGAATTATTATTTCGTTAAAACGAATTAATATTTCGTTAAAACGAATTAATATTTCGTTAAAACGAATTAATATTTCGTTAAAACGAATTAATATTTCGTTAAAACGAATTAATATTTCGTTAAACATTATACAAGTTTCGTGAAAGTTTCTGAACATAAGCAATAAAAACAGTAGGCTATAAAGGGGGATAACTCTAGCAAAAAATGTGAAACCTCGTCTGATCATAAATACAAATTCCTAAATCGTTCTGAGAAATCCGATCAAAAATACAATCTCTTGTGCGCTGACTAGAATATTTCGTTATAACGAATTAATATTTCGTTATAACGAATTAATATTTCGTTATAACGAATTAATATTTCGTTATAACGAAATAATTATATAAGAGTGGAATTATGCACGAAAAAATTATATAAGAGTGGAATCGTGCACTTAAGGGGCTCCGTAGTTTTCCTCCTAGTGTATTCAAAAACTGAATTAAAAAAAACCTGAGCAAGATAACCTAATGGCGGCCTATGCCATACCCCACCGCCAAAAGGGGCTCCGTAGTTTCCTCCTAGTGTATTCAAAGACTGAATTAAAAAAAACCTGAGTAAGATAACCTAATGGCGGCCTATGCCATACCCCACCGCCAAAATGTATGCAAAATTAATTTCTTAAAATTCGGTTTCTATGATACCTGGAAATACAAGCTTCATGCGAGTGTGAATAAAATTGATATGATGAGGGCGGGGGGGGGGTTGTGAGCGTAGCAAAGTCAAAATTAGTCCGGTGGCTCATGTGGGAGTATCGCCACCCGAGCGGAGAATTTATGGGACCATGTTTTTTGCGTAGATGTCGATTCCCGGTGATTAGACGTTTGCGGGCCCCAGGGCCCCCACATTAGCGGGCCCCCCACAAAAATCTCAGTTGCGCGCCTCGAGCATGGTCGGACCAAAGACTCCAACGGCCGGTCACCTAGTGACGGGGCCCCTCCGATGCTCCGAGATGTTTTCTGAGTGGATCGCCGGAATTCAACGCTATTTACAGGCGAATTGTCAAATTCTAATGAGAGTACTGCCTTGTACGTGGTTGGATCTTGCAGGCGAGTGTGCCTTGGCAACTTTCCCGGAAACTTTTTGTGGCTTTATCTAAGGCTGTAACACATGGTCTTTTATTGTCGTGAGATCTTCTATCGGACCGAACATCGTCTAACTCGATTTATCGTATAACTCACACATCATTTCAAGTAGCGCGAATTTTGCCCCAGATTGACGTACGATTGTATATAAGCTGTAGTTGTTGTTGTTGTTGATATTTGTTGTGGGTATAAGATGAATTTGATGAGATGCACATCATGATCACACGAAATATTCAGATTTCTTGATTAAATCTCGTATTACCATTTGGTACTTACAGTGTTAGACGTTCGTCAAAAATCGAGTCCGGCTTGGTCGTAACGTTACGGCCTCCATTCATCAAATCATCGTCGGGGATATAATACGATTCCGAATCAAGTGACCCCATTATTTATCACCGAGCGACTTCAAAATTAGGTTTGATGTAGCTCTGCTCACTTACAGTGGCGGATTTAACGGGCTCAATGGGCTCCAGTCCCCTCCTCTAGAAATGCAATCATCTCATAGCACTCGCATGGATTGGTCCACTGAAATAACGCCAGAATGCGCTAATTTTGTGGCAGAATTTTATTTTTTTCTGGGGGAGGTACTTCTAAATGGCTCCGACTCAAGTGCCTGAAATGCCAGGAAATCACGTTTCCGGCCTCCAATTTCTGAAAATTTCCTCGGGGGAAGAACCCCCCCCCCCCGACCCCCATTGCGAAGCCGGTCTGTTCAGGATTGGCGGCTACACTAGGTCTGCCCCGAATCTGAAATTTGGGGTGTAGGGGTAGCTCGGACCGGGGAGTAACATAGGCAAGGTGGCGTTAGTCTACCACTTCCGGTTTCGGAGTTATGACCCCCGAGCGAAGCCGGGTATCTTTCTAGTTTTAAATATATTTAGTGCTCTACAAGCATACGTTAGGAAAAATCCTGTCAAGATCACAACTTTTGAAATAAAAGCGGAACACACAAACCTTTGGGAAGGTGGGGGTGGATTATTTTTGGAGAGAATTAGATAGGCAACTTGCTTCCGAAGATGTTTATATACTTAGTGCATTCAAGTCGGAAGTGTTTTTCACCTTATTGTAAACAGGTATATTTTTCCTCCCACCTGCAAACGAATTATTGAAATAGTCTGTGTCGACACGCGCTTAATAAGTTTAGATCAAAATAGGTCAGTTATTTGCCCTACCGGAGCTATACAAAGTGATAACATATTTTAAAAGAGACTAATTTTTATATAAATGCAAGAGCTAAATCTGCCTATTGCAGGTCTTTCTTTAGGCCTGAAATGTTATCTAAATTATTAATTACACATTAGTTAACTTATCCAGACCATAATCAACTCTCGGTGGCATCGCTAGCCTGTGGTATTTACTGGATTAGGATCCGATCTGCTGCTCTACGCTCATTCATGATTAAATCAAGAAATGGATAATCGAGACTATGTTTTTGTCGTACTAACTTTAGTAATGATGATTGAGGCTACGCCCAAAATTCAATCAGGGTGGATCAATTTGACTGAAATTTTCAGCAAATTTCCTTTATATTATGTAGTTTTTTAACTATTATAGCGAGAAATGCCAACTCTTTATCTAATCTCCAATAATGTTTGTTTAAATAAGATATATAATCATGTTTTTATTTTCAAAGTTGAATATTAAACATAAAGCTATGTGATATTTATTTTTACTTGATTAACTAGTATGTGATATGTGTTTTTATTTGATTAACTAATATGTGACAGGTGTTTTAACTTGATGAACTAGAATGCTATATGTGTTTTTACTTGATTATCTAGTATGTGATATTTTTTTCTAACTATGTATACGAGTATATTTTTGTGATAGTTATTTAATTTGTCTCACTGAAATCCCCATGATTGGCGCAATATAGCCCAGTTGGAGCTGACGGACCACAAAACTCAATTTCACTTCATATTGAGATCTCCCTGGATAAATTATAGATTGTAATTCAGTATTTTATATCTGTGTTTCCTCGTGTTGCGTGGCTAAGTGGGTAAGACGCTGGCTCGCTAGCCTGGAAGTCGGGTGTTCGATCCCTGCATTGCCCGAGAAAGTTCATCCAGATTTTCCGGCGTGGTTCCTCCTTGTCCGTGATGCAGGACGAAGGGCCTGAGACAAGGACAGCTGTCTAGTCGTTCGGATGGGACGAAAAGCCGAGGTCCCGTGTAAACATTGTCGTGCACGTGAGAGATCCCTTGACAGTTGGAATTCGATATAAGAGTAGGCCGTAGTGCAGCTGTCCGGGCAAATTTCCCTCATAGTACACTGTATGGTGTATGCCCGTCTTGATTAGCCCAGTCGGAGCAGAGCAGTATGACGTTAATCACCATTTCATTTCATTTCCTCGTGTTGCGGTCATATTGCGTATGACGTATTAGTACTTGCATCATCGTGAAGTCTTAAGCGTGTGTGTAGTTGCCTCCCTTTAACTGTAAACGCGCTCAAAGTCATACCCAGTCAATCCCATCTGATTAAAATACAGGGGCCGAAATTTTAACTAAGATAAAATCCAAATTTTAGTAATTTGATTGGATAATATTAGATTGATTTTAGTGCTTAACCAATCAAAATTGAAGTATCTACTAAATTTGGATTTTGAGATTTCGTGAAACAGGGCCCAGATCTATATTTCGTTTCGTTTTTTTATACTTTCGATGGCCTACACTATATG